TCTTAAACATTTGATACAGAAATCTTAAATTTTACTAGTCTGGAATATTCCAAATCTTCTTTCGACAATGCATAGCCTTAAACTTAACCAGCCAACTATTCACTAAGTCAAAGTCTGACAAATTATGCAACCACGCCATGAAATTTATGCCCAATTTATTAATTGAATGATACCTTAATTCATCTCGAACATCAGTAATTTTATCGAAGTGACAAATAACATGTGTTGTAGAATCATTATATAGTATGCCCCAGTAGTGACAATTCCTCATATTTCACCATTCGAGAGCTTACTTTTAAAGCATGCTTTTAAAATACACTGTATATATAATATTAAGGATACTTAATATAATAAATTCCATAAGTGACGTGTTTTAAGCTTAAGATGGATAAACTCCAATCTGAAAACAATCGTTATCATATGACATACGCTCTAACCATGCAGTTCTTCTATACTATATACACTTTTATAAACAAGCTTTTTCCATTGTAATTTTCCTGGAAATGAATCTAATTTCATACAGTCAACAAAAGTAGCATGCGCTGAGCACTTTCTTAAGATACATGTAATTTTGGGTATAAATTCTATTGTTTTTCAATGTACATATGATACATAGAAAGTATAGTCATAATTGCTCTGTGCACTAACAATTTACAATCCTAATTACAAATTCGTCCTAGAAATATTTTATTTCGTTTTTCATAATATTTTACTACACAATCATATCCATCACATGTTGAACACTTCGTGATCCTGGCAACTTCGAAAAACAACAGCAAGCGTTTTTTTGTTTTTTTGTTTTTTTTTAACTTTAGAGGGATTCAAAATGCGCACTTTGGAAAGAGTGGAACAATAACTGCGTAATTTTAATCAACTCACGCGTGAAATGTATATCAAAGTGACATCATATGATATTGACTTTTTCGAAACAAATTTCAGAATTGTCCGTCGAGCATGCGCACAAAGGTGTATGACTATGAGGAGACGTTTCTCAGTTGAAAGAATCATAAGACAGCCATATTGGGAAGGTTTAAGATAATTGAAGTTTGAAAGAAGGTTTAAGAGTAGAGACAGAGGACAAGGAGAAAACTACAAGTGATCGTTCTGGAGGTATGTTCGACTTCATTTGTACCTTTAATCACGTTGTCTTGTTGCATTTGTCATGTAGCTGAAACATAGTCTGACAGTGATGTTGCGTTATTGTGTTTTTATAGAAAGTGAAAATAATTCAGTATAAATTTATGCCATTCACCATTCTACAACGGAACAATATCATGTCCCAGAAGCACTTCAAGATGTTAACACCTTCAACTGTTGTATTGCTTTCCTATTTCACTGGGATTTCAAATTCACAACTTCAAAAATCTTCAAGCGTTAGACAGAGAACAGCAGGCAAACGGTCATTCTCTCGGTAAACTCTCGCATAATGGATTGTGAATGAAATTCAACATCGAACACTAGTGATTCCAAAAGAGCTCAACATAATCATACAATACTTTTTCCGTGCTGAAAAATAAAGTTCAAATCCGTTTCTAGGTCTACTTAAACCTTTTTTTGCAGTCTGTATGGAACTCATCTGGACTGTATAAAATAATGGTGACCGTTTGAAAGAGGTAGCTCAAACTTAATAATTACACCGGGTTACTAAGTGTTGATCTTTGCTAACGTTTAACATAGAACATCTAATTCGATGTATTATTTTAACTGTATTAAGATAAGCCAATATTCCTCAGCGACAATGGGTGTATATATATCACGTGATCTGGTTTACTGCGACAGCTTCATTCTCAGCATGCAATCTCTGTTTAAAAGATAATGAACAGTAGCTACTGAGAAAAGATATGTTAGCAACCACAACTTGTTTCTATATTTGAAGTCTTATTTATGAAATAAGCATGCAATTTATCACTTCCGTGTACTGTATCTGCTGCCCAAAGTTGCAGGGTCGTGACTGGCGACTAAACTATTCCGCTCACTTTAGGCTTGAGTTGAGCGAAATGATGACAGCCGAAGGTGTGTGTCCTTGACATACCAAACTGATTGAAGAGGGACGAGCTAAGATTGGTTAGTCTGTTGTGTAGTGTATAATGAGTTACGATTGTTAGGTGCAACAACGTGATATATAAATTGCTTCGTCAGCTTCTTTTATTCTATCTAAAAAAACTCTCTCGGCTCTTTCGAGTATATAGGACTCGGAATAGACCTAGATGGCCACTAAACAAGGGTTCGCCAATGAATTGAATTTGATGTAAAAATCTATATTTGAAAAAAAAAAGAAATCAACTATATCCAATCCAAACTCTACGCCTTCACATCACTAGAGGAGTTCCGAATGTCAGTGCAATAACTTTTATATTCTTGGTTAAGGATTTTTCATATCAAATTAATTCCCCATTGCTCCTTTTCCCCTTGTATTGAACCATGAAGGTTGTGGATTTTGAGTATTCTTACGTGTAAGATGCGAATTAAGTGGAAAGATCTAACGACATTTTATTTCATGCTTAAAAGGGAGGTAACTGTATACAGCTTGGATTAGAATTTAAATAGTGTATATTTCGGCAAGTAAACCTTGTACAATGTCCCCATGTGATCAGATCATCCAAGTACAAAGAACAACGTTAGGCTATCCTCTTGTCTATATCATTTACACCTGTTCGGAACACTAGATATCGCCTTTTCGGACGTTTCATTGCTAATTGTTGACCTTTAAATGACTGATGGGTTTGACTAGTTGTTCAATCAAACCTTTATCGATACTACCAACCAGGGTGCTGTCAAATCAGTTTTATTCTGATACAGTTGACTCGAGAGGTAGAAGTAATAGCATGTAGTACCCCAAAGAGGTTTTGATCAGTTGACTTATCTGGGCCACCCTCTCCTGAAACATTTCTTCTATACGTACATTATATTTTTCCCACTCTGTACTCTACCATACCCCTTTTCTTCCAGCAGACTGTATAGGCATACCAATTGGAACACGCCGTGGTCCTCTCTTGGCTTACTGTTTTTGTTTTTATTCGAGGCTGAACTTATTGAAGTTCTTAACAACATATGTCACAAAATTATTCTGATTTCCTTGTAAAATTTCCATTCCTAGATGGCAGCAAACCCGATTCTCCATTCCTCGATAGCAGCATACCTGATTCTCCATATTCTCCATTCTCTTGTCGCATATGATTAGATAGCCAATGACTTCTTCTCGATAACACGATATCCATGCAAAATGTCGACAGCTGACGGATGAATTCTCAACACAGCTAAGGTTTCAAGAGATGCAGCTTGATGAATATCATGAAGTTTAATGATTGTCACAATGACCACGTCGGGAACATCTTTTGGTGCTCTCTCGTATGTCTAATGGGTCTGTTGTTGTTACTATTGTTCTCGTGTGGAAACATGGCACTGCTTACTTGGATTGACCTAGAGTTTTATTATGGGTGTTGGCAATGAAGCAGGAGACATTAACCCTTCGAAACACACGATTTTAATATTCTAGTATTTTTTCGAGGATTTGGGTTTGAATTAAAGTACCGTTGACTTATCTGTGTTTTCTTATGTCTTTATACATAATGAGGAAGCACTGTAATTTGTACCATTGCATACCTGCACAGAAACACCAATAATTGATGTACTGTTAGTCAATTCATATACCTATTACATATATCCAGTTTCTGGATAGACTGGATCCTCTATTACACGCTTTGCGTTTGTTCAATACAATTAGGTAAGTTTTAGTTATCACATGTACATTGTACGCCTCTCAAGTCAGTCGAATCAGACAGCACTGTGCCATCATTTTCTTATAATAGGTATGATCATGATATTATTGATTTGTTTGGATATAACCTTGTTGGCACCTCAATAATTTGGCCAGGTTGAATCTTATTTGCAGCCTTTATAACCCTCATGACATCTGTAATGAGGTAAGTTGGAGGCCTTTTTATGCTCTTTTCTAAATCTATGTAGTACACCTGTAACTTGGCTAGGATTGTGCATAGGACACACAAGTGAATGGCGACATTCAATACATTTTTTATGATAAGATATATTAAAGTCAAACGATGATTTCAATGCATCATACAGCTTGTTTCATTCTTCTAGGACTTAGTGGTGCTTAGGGCCTAATTTGAGCCTTTACTTACACCTTTTACATGTATCTATTACCTTAGTCATTTTTAAAAAAATGACTTTTGAAACAATGGTTCAGCAAAATTGGGGAATAGTTTGCACCATTCACACTTGTCCTCTAAATCATGGTTACATCATTTACCCATTAAGGCAGATTTTTTTTTTTTTTTTATCTTTTACATCAAAGCAGTACATCATTAATTAGGTAATGCTGGATCCTCGTTTTCACCTTTTACCTCTCTCCATTACATTAGTAAGGTAAGGCAGGGTCATGTACGGCTAATGTTTTACATGTAACCTACGAACGGTTCGTTTTCGACACTATATACATACGTGTAATAACTAGCCGGCGGTCACAGCCGAGTGATCCATCGACGATCGCTCAACCGTACAACCTCGTGTCCATCCCAAAGTCAGTGTCCTAACGTCATCAACCAATATTTAACGGTGGTCAAATATTTCGATGAATGGTCAAGTCGATGATTTCGTTCGTTTCCAGATACCAGGAGAGGAAGTATTTAGTTTCGGATTTTTCAAAACTGTTTTAATCTTAAGGACTTAAGGAAAATGTTATGTATTGTGAGATCATGAAGACGGTTGTGTCAGAGATAATCCATGTGGCTGTAATGTCGAGAATATTACCAGGAATCACTGTTTTAAACATGTGTTAATGCAGTGTTTACTACAAACTTGAACCTCTACATATATGACGCGTGGGCCATGCATTCTAATTTTAATTGTGAATCATATCCTGATTAATACGGTCGTACAGGACGAGGAGACCTCCTAACTCATGATCACTCTCTTCCGTTTCTCGTGCATTTTCATGTGATCTAACGTCCAGTGGATTGGATTGAAAAGGATTTACTGAAGAGAATAACTTGTTCAACAAGGAAGGATTTGATTTCATGTAAGTACAAATATTTATGATATGAATAAATATATGAAGTTTTCATCGTCGTTCATTCACGACTTATAACACCATGTGGTGACTGATAACCGTTGAATTACGGTTCTTCAGCGAGATTTCTCTTTATTTTTAATTTAAATAATCGTTCGTTAATGCTACTATTTAGGAAAAATGCCCAGTCCAAAATAAGCACCTTAAACATTTTATTTCGAATAATTCCGTTAGAGCTTTTCTGAAAACACGAACCTTTATGAAAAATTATTTTGTTGCAATATTCCATCGTAGTTTTATATTATTGATTAGTCGTATCACTTCCTAAGTACATAGCGATAGATCATTACTTGATGTGATCGTATAGCCTTCTATGACATCTACCTGTCGAATAAGAAAACACCAGTACACGAGACGCCATTAGCAAAATATATCATTCCCAAGACTGACTCATAAATAAATATTATATATGTATTACATAACGTTAAGTTTGTCTTCAGGTATATCGTTCATGCAGTATATATACATGTATATTAATTGTACACCTGGAGAGCTTCGGCTGTCCAGTTGGACAGCACGTGCGTGCCTTTGGCCTCCTATGGCAGGTATATTACCGGACATATCATGGCTACTTATTCATTAGGTAAACAATGTATTTATATATGTACATATTGTGTAGAATTCGTTTGGTTACTTGATTATCTGGTGGTCACATTCTCAGTGGACTTAAGGCAAAAATAGAACATAATAAGGACATATGGACACCGATTGCTTGTCGTATCTAATCATTATTAATAAACTGGTTATTATTATCATCCTCGACATAATTAAACACAAAAGGCTGTTTTAAACATCCCCTAAAATTCCTCAAATATTCTAAACTGACATTATTATGTTATTGTTTTACGTTATTAGCCATTAAACTACATTTTAGAATCATTAGAAAGTGGAATAAATTGAAATAGAATATTTCATATGATTTATTTTTATAATGAATTGTTAACTCACTAGTTAAACATATGGTTCTTGAGATATATATATGTGTGTGTGTAATAATAATTATAATGAGTTTTGATATTTATCCTTTGTACATTTTGTTTTGAGGAATAAAAGTTTATTCAAACATATTTCAAATACATCATTAATCCAAACACATTTTTCAAGTATGTGCAAAATGTATTTATTAAAATGAAAAAAATATATCTTTAAGATCAAAATATCTATTTGTGTAATATACATTACATAAGTTGTTTATGATACTCTTTACAAAAGTCCTAATTCTGAATTAAAGTATCCATATATACTTCTACAACGTTTGAAATGCCATTACTACAAGCTCAGTATTTAAAATCGTGATGTCGTTAGTGAGTTGATCTATAAGAATTTAACAATGATGTTTTATGGTTGGTTTATGGCTGAGTGTGTTTGTGATATATACGGCTGACATTGGTTCTCGTGTTGATGAATCATTGTCGTGAATGCATGGCTAGTTTTATTGGTACTGTATCAATACTGAACTGGGGCGTGAAGTTTTACATAACAGAACATAATCTCCTAACGCAGTTTGTATATTTTTCCTTGTCATTCGAAGTTTCTTTTTATTGTAATTTTATAACTTTCACTATTTTTTCATCGCGGATAATGTTATCATCGGAAGTGCATTGATATAAGTTATATGATTATCAAAAAATAATGTAATTTTGTTCTGGTAAAATTTCAAAATTCACCGTTACTTATTCATAATATTTCTAACGGATAAATATTGTTGTAGAATAAGATTGAGTAAAAGAGGACTGTGAATAAAAATGTTGATAATCGAGATCAATTTATATGATGAATAATATACTTGAAGGCTATGAGTAAATGCTTTGTGACGTATCGGCGCTATGTTTATATTATACATCCTGTAGTAATGTCTGACATGTAGACTACCTGTGGCGAGATTTGATTTATAATAATAACACTCCCTTCTAAAGTGAAGGTAGGGGTTACTACTGTATTATACATTATATGTGTGTAATAAACAATCGCCTGCGCTGGTTCAAGGAACAGACCAAACCTGCTATATCCACAGCCTGGTCGTATTAGGCAACTAAAATTACTCTTGTCTTCTAAAGAAATTTCCCGTTACATCATCACTGACAAATATCTATGAACCTTTCTCGAAACATCTCTGGTTAAAATGTCAGCAAAATAATGATTTTGAGTCCAGCCTAAGATATTTCTGAGAAATGGCATCGACTGTCTCCATCGTCTATACGACACTATCCAAATGTGACTTAAACTGTAACCTTTAAACAATTAAACCCACATGATACACTTATACGATTGGAGACTTATATAAATTTGGGGTATTTTTTTAATGTGTTACACTATTGTGAGATGATCTTTAGGTTTCAATAGTCATTTGGGTTATTACAGTCTTGAATCAATAAAATCTTTTATTTATTATTTTTTTTTCGTCATTAATTCCATGTTGGCAATATTCATTAGAGGCATAAGTTTATCACTAATGACATGGAAACCACATTCAATTTTTTGGAAAAAAAAAGAAAAGAAAATACCAATATGTCAACATAATCATAATCCAAACACAAATTCAATGAAACAGTTTTACAATATGAACAAAAGAAAGATTTACACGGAGACTCATGAAAGAGTAAAATGAGAACGTCTTCTGCATCACCGACTACACCCACCATGTAAACCTTAGTGAATCCAAGTAAGTAGTGCCACCAGAACAATGTATACAACAACGGAACCAACAGGCAAACTAAAGACATCAAACACGTCAAGCTTCCTGACCTAGATATTCGCTAGATACGTATCTTGTATAACAGGTCAGTGGCGTCTACTTCTCTTGGTTGGTTGGTCAGTTACAGATTTATTGACCCTTCGTTTTGATATCTTTTCCCATCTCATTTATAGACACGTCACATGTGTCTCTGTGACACGAAATAAGTTGTATTGTTTTTTTGATAATTAATTGGTTTCACGAATACAGAATTGCCCTGGAATTTACGCCTTGTCGAGTTATATTACAAACCATATATCATATATAATTTTTGTACCTTCTATTTTTTCACTAAAGGTATGTTTTCTCTGTGATGTCTTACACTCTGGTGGTAGCTGCGATTCATTATCGTAATGTTCGACCTATACTACTGATTAATGTAGTCTCAAAGATATGCTGTAAAGAGGAACATTTACCCAGTGTCTGATGTTTTGTTGTCTGGTTACCTAGTGTCTGATGTTTTGTTGTGTGGTGCAATGTTTTTGTCTGTTACTTGCTTTGGAAACATATTAACATCATCTACAAAGCACAACTAGCTTGGCCACAGCTTTGCAACAATTGATCTATATTTTCTCTCTATTGTCTTATTGTCAATTTCTGATTGTCTCCCCTAGTTATATCTTGTCATCCAGTTTTTTCCTAATATATGTGATCACGCGATCCAGTAACAGTCCTGTAATCTTGAGGATGTTATCTTTCTGTGACAGTAATGAAAACACTAACGACTTTATAATTATAAACATACTTTATATATCGTTAAAAGTACATTGCAAAACAGTTTAACATTGTCGAGACATAAGGTACTTCGTCACTGTCGACTTCAGTTTTATTTGGTATCTCATCATTTTATCATAATTATATTGTGATATATTAATGGATGTCTACCAGTTAAACCCAACGAAAATGTTCCAATGTGTACAATAAGTATTTTATTATGAAGACAAATGCAAGTTGTCATGCTTGTTTGAGCAGTTTTACCTGTGAATGTAAAACGTATTTGTTAAAATTTGAGTACATACCAATTTATATGTAAACATGACTGCTCGTTAATATCATGTTGCAACAACTGTCATCAACGGGTTTTAATTACTTTTTCATGATTAAATAAACGAGAAAAAATAATTATCTTGAAAGCCGCGCATTAACATAATGCTAACCACCTGACTATAATATAACATATCCATTTTCTCTCCAAACGTCAGGCATGTTTCAGGCATGTCATAATGTTGATGTATACAAAACCGGTGTTTCCAGAATGTTCTGGTTTATTGTAGTACTAAACAGAACTTATAATATGTCTCCTGACTATCGACTTTTTGGGAATATATCAAGATGTCGTTGGAAGTAACGTAGTGAGGAAATTGCAGTTAGTATTTGGCTGAAATTTCAGATTTCAAATGTGGTCGAATATAGGCATATGTTACTGGACATTTTACGTACTGGCAAAATTGTCCATGATCAAATTGTCAAAAAAATTGCAAAGAAAATCGCTTACGCCGTAGGCGAATTCCTTATCTCAAAGCCTTTTAGATTGTATCTAAATTTGTATACGTCAAATTATTGTTGGACAAATTATAATAATTGTATAATTCTATACTGTATTGAACATGATGAATTTTTGATTACAGAAAAATCCTAGAGGATTTATATCTTCTCATATTTTCATATCATGCATATCGTTTAATGAAAGATTGAAAACGGTATCCATCCATATAGCTTGTGTGATATTGTACATACGTATATATGTATATATTAAATTTGTACTTGTACATCCTTGACCGAAGGACACCAAAACTGTCGTTTAATGATTGGCTTACTGTCAATCATTCTCCTACAAGTGCCAATACACGGTTAGTGTTTAGTGGTCACTAAGGGGTCAATTTTTCTCCTTTAAGTACTACTTCAGTAGGCTTCTGGTGCTGTATGTACATGAAGGTTGAAGTTTAGAAAAATGAATCATTTGTCGGAATGTGAAACTCTGTAACGATGAGAATATAATTTTATCGTTTGTTTTTATGGAAAGCTTACGCTAAGAATATAGTTTTACTTGCAGCTGGAAAACTCACAGTGAACGTCTTTAATGAAGTTTGATTATGTTCGTTCTAATGCAACGAAAAAAAAACTAAATCCAGATCTTATTTATTTCGATGTCATTCCCAAGCATCTTTTGTAAATAAAACAAAACGAAAACTTGTACACGTCATATTTTAAACTTTTAACCGTTGGTAATTCGTGCACGATAATAGGGTTTTAATTACAAATATACAATATAAGAAATGCCTTTTTAACAATATTTAGGGTCCGGTGACAGAAACACGGCTGTGAATAACAACACTTTTCAGATCTTATAACGTCAAATGTTTAAAGATCATTTTGATATTTTCGGGAAAGAGTCCGCTTATGATTATGATACTTCTGAGATAATTAAGAAAAATGTTCATGCAATGTAAATACGTTTCTATAGGGTTGTGTAAATCTGTTTTACAATAAAAAAATGGCATCAGCAAATGTTCTTGGTATTTTAGGCATTATTACTTGCAACTCAAATGAGTTGTGAATGTGACGCATTGAATTAATTCAACTTCATGGTTTTCATTTTATATTTCAGATCGGGGAAAATGCATTTGAAAATTCTGGTTTTAAATATCCTCATGTTATGCTCACTAGACTGTGTTTACGGTCACGGCCGACTGATTGATCCACCATCTCGTTCTACTATGTGGAGATACGGCTTCAGCAATCCACCAAACTATGACGACAACCAGCTTTACTGCGGCGGAGTTCAGGTAAAACTATAACTAGGTTAACTGTGCACGGTGGTAAATTCAACCTCGGCTCTAATGTGAGTGGGTCAATGTAAAATAATAAGGTTAACTGTTCACGATGGTAAATTCAACCCCGGCTCTAATGTGAGTGGGTCAATGTAAAATAATAAGGTTAACTGTTCACGATGGTATATTCAACCCCGGCTCTAATGTGAGTAGGCCAGTGTAAAATAATAGTCATCACAGCTGGTAATAGGATAGAACGGTATACTATACTTTTACCATGGAAAAAATTGGGTATTGTATGTCTTTCTTCCGAGAGTGATAATAAAAGCAATAAGAGTTGGTTCAGGAAGTAAGGCTTTGAAATTCTTCAGTTCTCAATCGGAACAATGGAAGAACCGCGGCAGTTGTTTCGAAATTGAAATCTGATGTTTATTTTCCAGGTTCAGTATGAGCAAAACGGTGGGAAATGTGGGTTGTGTGGAGATAATTGGGCCGGTGCACACGAAAACGAGGCTGGCGGGAAATATGCAAATGGTATAATTGTTCGCACGTTCCAGCCGGGTCAGGTGATGACAGTCGCCGTAGAGTTGACGGCAAATCACAAGGGTTACTTCGAGTTCAAACTGTGTGTGAACGACGACCCGCGGAGGAAAGTCACACAAGACTGTCTTGACCAGTACGTACTTCAGGTCGTGAACCCTGACATCCGAGGAACTAGATATCCTGTACCCAACAAAAATGGCTACCAGAAACTCTCGTTGCAGGTCCAGTTACCAAGTGGTGTGCGGTGTCGGGATTGTTTGCTCCAGTGGAAATACAACGCCGGAAATAGCTGGGGAAGAGACCCAAAAACCGGAGAACAATGTCTAGGGTGTGGAAACCAAGAGCAATTTTACGGATGCGCCGATATCGCAATCGGACATTCTGACATACAAGAAGGTCTTTCTCTAATTACAGGCAAAAACATGAAGACATCAAACTCTATGACGGTTCCTCCTCCACCACCTGACGGCCTTACATTTGGAGATCCTTGGGCATCACGACCAGATCAACAAGGCGATCCTCTTGTAACTCAGTCCTTTGTGCGAGCAACAGAGCAAGGGGTTATTATGTACAAAGACTTTGAGGAGTTTCGAAGAAGGTTTAAAAACAGTAGAATCCAACCATGCGTATGTCATTCCTGCGTTGGATCTACTTGTGTGTGCGAATGCTTTTCCAGCGGAAGCACTTCTGTGGTCACTACATGGTATCAGCGTTTATATATGATGTTGATAGCCATAGTCACGTGCTTAGTGACGTATTATGTGAATAGGAATTGATTATTCAGTTATTCTCAATTCTAGTTATGAAAGTTTGACAGGATGTGCCAAATCTGACTATGCAAGAATCAAGACTTATATTGAATACTGAAATCTTAACATGTGGAATTATGAAAATGAGCACGAAGGAAATGTGTTTGAAATGGTGCTGGATAAGCATAATGAATTTCACCTGAAACAATTTCGCATTTTTAGGTCATCTGACCCGAAGGGTCCGATGACCTATAGTCATCATGCTTCGTCCGTCGTCGTCCGCCGTGCGCCGTGTGCCGTCCGTAAACTTTTCATTCAAACGACTTCTTCTGAAATACTAGAAGGTCTAGGGGGCTAATACTTGGCACAGAGGATACTGGCATGGAGCTCTACCAAGTTTGTTCAAATGAATGACCTTGACCCACTTTAAAGGTCACAGGGGTCAAATATGTTAAAATCTTTAAACAACTTCTTCTCATTAACCAAAAGGCTCAGAGTGTAGATATTGGGCCTGTGACATGCTGGGATAAAGGACTACCAAGTTTGTTCAAATGAATGACCTTGACCCACTTTAAAGGTCACAGGGGTCAATATGTTAAAATCTTTAAACAACTTCTTCTCAATAACCAAAAGGCTCAGATTGCTGATATTGTGCCTGTGGCATGCTGGGATGAAGGCTATCAAGTTTGTTTAAATGAATGACCTTGAACAACTTTCAAGGTCACAGGGGTCAAATATGTCAAAATCTTTAAATAACTTCTTCTCAAATACTAGAAGGCCTAGGGGGCTAATACTTGGCCCATAGCATGCTGGCATGGAGCCCTACCAAGTTTATTCAAATGAATGACCTCAACCCACTTTCAAGGTCACAGGGGTCAAATATGTTAAAATATACAAAGGACTTCATCTCAATAAGCAAAAGTCTATGAGTGCCGATATTGGGTCTGTAGCATGCTGGGAGGAGAGGCTACCAAGTTTGTTCAAATGAATGACCTCAACCCACTTTCTAGGTTTGGCTTGCTTTTTGTCAGATGACCGTTAAGGCCCATGGGCCTCTTGTTGATAACTTTTTTTTTGCAGGATGACTTTAACCCAAATTGCGATGATTGAAATTCCACAAACATTTTAATGTGTATCATACTTACAGAATGGTGAAACAATCCATACAAACATTTCACTAGAAACACCCGAGATTGCAATTTCCTTTCCACCTGGTGTCATATTTTACCATACAGTGAAAAGATACTGGTGTTTTATTATAATATAGCAATGTTTTCCAAATCTGTCTCAGAATTACGTAAAGCCATCAATTTTGAGATTGCACTTTGCTTTAGTTTGAGAAGTGACACGTCTTGATACTTTCCTGTATATAGTTTACAAGATGTTCTTTACAATCTCACTTTGCATAGTTATTCCAACTCAAATGAATTATACAGTAATGTGTTTTCCTACTGAAAATAGTACATCCATAATGGATTAAATGCAATATAATACAGTTCTATTAAGAAATGCAACGATAAAGGGCTGACGAGGTTTGGCCTGTTTCAATATTCTGTGATAAACGAGAGCCCCCATTTACAAGGATATGGTCTCTCGTCAGGCTTACTGGGATTATTTTAAAAACTTAATTCAAAATCTATGTATATAACGGTCAAATACTTCACATAATTTTATATATTGTCTGCTTAATAGAAGGTACTATCGTGTTGGAATGTTTGCAATGGTTTTGTTTTTCTTCAGAATACCATGTATTTCACCGGGCTTTTACAGATTGTACATGCATTATAGTAAGACGTTGTATATGAATATTAATCTAAATTTAATTGATTGATGATACTTCTGAAGATAATACATTTTCTATTCAACCTAGTTTTTAGACCCTCTCTCTCCAGATCTTCGATTAACTCTCTGTTAATGATCAGTGAACCAAATAATGTTCTGGTCTACCACACAGACGCAACTATCCATTGACTCCTATTGAAGTGCTATATTATGTATTCATACAGTACCGATAATCTTAACACTGTTAACATACACGCATTAAAGTTTAATGAATATTTATCCCGTTCTTTGATTTTCATATCGTTGATGGAAGCAGCTATATCGTGATGGTGAGATTTACTGTCTCAACACTGAAACTGTATTGAAAATTGTAACACTTTTTTGTCTTTTCCACATTCCTTACACGTTAGGTCAAGATATTTACCATTATTTTCATTCCCCTTGGTTTAGATTTTTTCCCCAGGTTTGTTCACTAACCAACGACAATATACTGCATGTTATAACAAACTGGGATAAACTTTTATTCAATGGCTATTTTTCATCTGAAAATGTATATCATTTTCAAAAAAAATGGAATGGCGAGTGTGGTATTCATTTTAAAGAAAGATTTAAAAAATGAATGTAATCGTGTATCAATTTTAGGTATCACGCTGGTATATTATCTGTGATAAAATAAATATATACTTCAAAATGAGTAAGAGTTATCCTTCTTCGTGCTTTTGATTGACATTTCAAGGGAGATAACTGCCACGGTAAAATCGACAGAACAAGTGTGTACTTCGATGCATACAACCCGGTCGTAGAAATGTCATGGTTTGATTGACTGATTAGATAACAATTTATTTTAACAAATATTCGGTCTCTATTTTTACCCATATCACTTACAGCCAATATTCTATTCTTCCACTTTGAATAGAAATAAAGATTGATATTTTGCGGATGTGACAGAAAGATAAAACTTCCCCACTTGCTAAGTATTCTCTGTGGGCCACTTTGTCGAATCTGTTTTAAAATTGTGTGTTAATTGGTATCTCTGTTCTAATCAATTATAGCATTCCGATATCTAACGTTTTCCATAGCAGAGCTTGTAGCTATTTATGTTATCGATTCCTTGTTGAGAATAATTTTGATTTTGTCATCTGAAAGCCTGTACGTATTAATGTCAGGGATCCATTACATAGGATCGAACACACAACATTTATTTTTTAAGTTTTCGTTTGAAAAATACAATGTAGATAATAACAAGGAACTATTTGAACAATAGATCATCACATGGAAATCTTGGCATCTGTAAACGAGAAAGTAGAGATTGTGGCATGTCTCCTTCATGTACTTTTAAAATGAATTTATTCATATTGTGAATTTGGGTCTCGTTATTGTGGTTTGGAGTTTGAGATCGTTGTCAGAATTTGGAGACTTTGTGACGATTAAGAATTTTATTGCAATATTGATACTTGTGTTCCTGCGGAGATCGATATTCCCTACATCTGCCCGTCATAATTAGCATGTGCAGTCCTTTGTCGAGGTGTCGACCGCAGGTGGCTCCATATACCAGAATCAAATCACGTGAATAACTTGTGCTCGCCTATCTCCCGTTGTGTCTATAATTTATCAAAAGATAAACTCGAATAAATACATTTTTAGTTCAGGCTGAATTGTCTGTAAGTTTTATATTCGACCAAAAAAGCAAACCACATGCGAAGAAGTCTGCATACCTTTTTATGTGAATGGACGCCGTATCGCACACGCGCGAAATTGTAGAACGCAGCCAGGTGCTACTTTCCTCATCGATCTTTATGATTTAATTCAAACATTAAGTGTCAGCCATGTTGGCTGTAAACAAAGCGAGGGAAAGTCGTCCGTGTCTTTTGGCATTGATAAGTCATATGAAGAAAGAGACACTTGCGGCGGGATTGATTTAGATAATTTGCATAATTCTTAAAATAAAACCTTTAATCTGATATTTTCTTGCTTTATGGTTTAAAAATCGATCACAGTTTGAATTTAGTGTAGAGCTTTTAGATCCTTATTGACAGATCAGGAATTCATGTTTAATTTCCATACATGATTGAAAGACATACTAAACTCACTCAAAAGCAATTGTCAAGGATACAGGGTTTATTGCACTTCACTAGAATTACCAGGAAATCGGCAATACAAATGAATTCTGACTAAATATTTTAACGCGAGATTATAAATTTTCAGATCTTAAGCGGTACATTAGTGAACCATATAACTATTCTTAGCCTAAAATAGACGTAATGAAACAAAATTGTGCTTTCAATATAGGATCTCCGACAATCAATCACAAGATACTTCAACATCATGGTAAATGTCAAATATTACACTAATGTCGGATCAATATGTATTTTAGCATACAACTCACGGGTGTGCCCGTCACGACCGTGGTTCCTCTTAATAAAGACAGCTACAGAAAATACCGTATTTTAAACAAAATTGCAATTAAAACTTGACAGAGAGCGAAACATAAACACAGGAAAGATTTACTTGGAGAAAAGGACATAAAGAAGGCCCGATGTTCCGGAAGGATAAGAGTCATCTGCATTATCGACAATACACACTATCTAAATCTAGATCAATCCTCTATATCTAGGTCAGCCCAAGGGAGGTCGCGATCTCATATAAGAACAAGGTTTAACAACGAAAACGCCCAGCATACTAATGAGCATTGATCACATCTAAAATACCGCAAAGAAACGAGATTCACGTCAACAGTCATATGAAGACAGGATAGCAAACAGAATTTCTCTTAATGAGATTATGATGTTGACTTTAAACCCTCTCGATAGTCTTCCTCATTCAGTAATTCTCAAACTCTTATGTTACAAGTTTTTTTTCCAGCTGTCGACATGTATCGTGGAAATCGTGAAATTGTTCACTATACATATGTTACACTCGGTGTTACGAAGTATATATATCAACATAGTTAAGATTCCGAGTCAGAATCAATAAGAAATAACCTTTATATATTAAATTTGTTATATTGCATTGCGGCATTATTTTACTTTATTTCGAAAGGATACTGACAAGTATGTTTCAGATTTAATACTACTCAACAGGGCAAGTACAGGGTTTTTAACTAAAGTGGGTTTTTTTCTCATTAATCAATTAAAACTACAAAATATGTTTTGTGACAAAAATGTTTTGTCCCTTTTGTCGTCTTACATGAAGCATATTTTAGAATTTGTGTTCAAAATATTGCGAGAGGGGGATGTAGAAAGAGGCAGGTGGATTGATGGTGAAGTTGGAGGAAGTGTTGTTGATTCTGTGTTCTCCGACAGAAGGTCAATGGATACTCGATATCTGTGAGGAAATATCACTTCCGTGCGCGTAACACCTGCTGCAGCATCTCGCCAGCGATACAGACCGCGCGAGATCGACTATTATAGAAAT